AGCTCCATTACACCTACGTGGCCTTTCAAACCCCCTCAACAATCCCATCTTTCATCATAGAGCCCTTTGAGAAAGCCAGGCCCAGTGTCCCAGGCAATAAAAAGCTAAACAAAACAAGTCATTAGTTCACGTCATTCAAGCAACTTGATTAGAATGCACTGAAACTATGATACAATTCTGATCAAGCATCCCAGGAAACCGCTTGGTGGGATAATTTCTCTTGGGTGACGACATAGTTACTGTGAGAGAGAAAGCCATTTCCCATGAAGGCTGCTGTACTGTGGCAGAGCTTCACTTCCTGCCCACACATGTTGTCACCAGCAGCTCTGGCATCATTTGTTCTCCATGATGTAATCAAGCTGCATTGAAAGCAATAGCGTTTGCTCTGCAACTGGTGGCGGGCAGAGAGTAACTCTACAGAAAGGAGCAATGAGCTTTAGTGCTCCAAGATGTCATGTTGGACAAGGAACAAGCGAGAAGGAGGGGAAATGAAAACTTGGACATTGAAGACAGGCAGGATGCAGCAGGAGTCATTTATCAGTACATGAACGTATGCGAGTGCTGGTATAGGATGTGTGTTGGATATGGGGGGGGGGTAGTTTAAAGGGACAGGTCACCCAAAAATGAAAAGAGACACTTACAGCGGATCACTGTTTCAAAGGTTTGGCCACAAGATGCAAATGAAAAAAATAATAATAATTCTATGTAAACTGCTGTTCAAAAAATCGAAGATGCATTAAACTGATATTAAAGTGATAGTCAAGACTTTTAAATGGTTACAAAAGATTTATTCTTCAAATAAATGTTGTATACTGAGAAAAGCATCACAGTTTCCCACAAAAACATTATTAAGCACAACAGTTTCCAACATTGATGATAATAATAATAGGAAATATTTCTTGAGCAGCAAATCAGCATATTAGAATGATTTCTGAAGGATCATGTGACACTGAGGACTGGAGTAATGATGCTGATAATTTTGCTTTGCCATCATAGGAATAAATTACATTTTAAAACGTATTACAGTAGAAATCAGTTGTTTTAAACTGTAATAATATTTCACAATATTCCTGTCTTACTGTATTTTGATCAAATAAATTCAGTCTTGGTGAGCATGAGACTTCATTCAAAAATATTTCAAACAAAAACAAAAAAACTACCACCTTTTGAAAAGTAGAGTACATGCAACTTTACAACTTGACAAAATAACACCTACGACCTTAAAACTATCACAAAAATGGAGAGAACAACTTGACAGCTCAAATAATACACAAGCAATAGAAAATGTGCCCAATTGAATTCCATTGTAGGTTCTCTTTCTTATTTTTCCTTTTTTTTTAATAAAACAAGAGAAGAATCAAATTTTTATTGTTGTAGCAATCAACATTCTGCCACAAATGTTGTTGATTGAGCTTAAAGTCCCCATGAAATCAAAAATTAAGCTTTAGCGTTAGTTCTGGCAGGTCACGTGAGTCAAGCTTGCATCAGCTGATTCTCAGCTGATCACATCTACCTATAGGAATACGACACCTATCGCGGCATTCCTATATAAGCTGTATTCAGTATTATTCAGCAGCTTTTCAGCTTGCTTCGGAGCAAATTAAGCATCGCTGCTCGCAAATCAAACTGTTGCAGCGTGTTTCAGAACATCTGAAATCCACATCTAAGATAAGTGAATGCTGTTTTAATCCATATCGCTGTGTATATTACCTGGCCTGCTAATTGAAAAAAGCATATTTGCAGCAGCATTTACGAGTCTGTGTTCACACAGCTGGAGCAACACGTAGTATAGAGCATGTAATCGCTCTGAGGACACGCCGATAGTTAAGGCCATGAGAACAAGTTTAAATGAAACACGCATTCTTGTGCATAAATATGCTTTCCATTGAGGAAAAAAAGAAGTCTGGTTTCGCACTGTGTCACGCTAACCACCGCACACACACTCTGCTCCGGTCCAGAGACACGATAGCACGGAGCGGATCACATGCGCGAGTCGGCGCAGACCACAAAATGTATCGGAGCTATTTGAATTCTACACAGAACGCTATATTTTATAACAATATGGATGAGATTGTGGCTGGCATACCCTGTCAAATGCGGCTTTACAGAGCTCAACGACTCTAGCCCAAGCTGTGATATAAACGAACGCTATTGGCTATTTTTAAAAGGGGCGGGGCTGCTTGATATGTCCCGCCCTGTCTTCCTGTTTCAGTTCAAATGACGTCAACACATAGAGTAACGCTGCATGTTTCTAAGCATTTCAGGGGACCTTTAACTCTTATTAAACCTACAATCTTAAAGTCTGTTTGTAAGCCCAAGCTTGCAGTAGTATAATATGGCTTCAAAAAGACTTGGAATAATGCACACAAGTCTTGTGGACATCTTTTATGGTACTTTTAAATCAGCTTGATCACCATATGCTTCTGTAATATGGAAAACAGCAGCATGAACATTCTTCAAACTATCTCCTTTGGTGTTCCCCCGAAAACAAGAAAATCTAAAACACCTGGAACAGCAGGAGGATGAGTTAATGATAAGAGAACTTTCATTTCGGGGTGAACTAAAGTGTTAGAAATAAAAGTGTTTCAATAGCCATTCCGCAGGGCAAACAATCATGATTCATGGCATGTTGTGGCATGATAGTCTTGTAGTGGCCTATGACAAGGATTTAACAGATGGAAACAGCTAAGGAAATGTGTCATATACAAAAGCTGACAAGACAGCAGATTGTCTAGGGAGAGCCTCAAAGCAGCTTTGTTTAACGTCCACACACACACACACACAAACACATTTCGGACATGTGGGGATCTGTTGGGAACCAGTGCTCACTAATGAAGTGAGTGTGTGAGAAAACATGTCTCACACACACGATTCCCACAAAGACATAATAGAAGCAATTCTGTCCACCTTTGGAGGAGGGCTTCAGTGCTCACTTCCTGTCTGGAAGCATACAATTTTCCATCGTATGACCCCCTATTTTTACTCAGTCCTACTTCAAATTCTCAGCTGACTAATGATGACAAACCTGCACTCCTTTTCCGAAGCGGTTGTGAATACACTCTTTATCATCCTACCGATGCACGTAAAACTTGTCCCAGATCAGAGTAAAAGCCAGTAAGAACCTTGTCTAGCGTATGAAGGAGTTTTTTGCACTTTCTGTAAATGCAGCCAAGCTTCCATTCAAAGAGAGGAAGTCAGACTGTTCCTGGGGATTAAAACAAGGGCATGTGGGTTCACATTTCCCCTCCTCCTTTTCTCTCTCTCTCTCTCTCTCTCAAAAGGAAAGCATACCCAGCTGTTTGATAAACATTACTAATGAGACTGAACAACTGCTTTTCTTTTTTTTACTCTCTTTCCAGAGTATGTGGAAGCCTGTGGGATACAAAGCCATGCATATTCTGAAGTCTCACTCTCTCGGGAGAGAATGTAGTGAATCTGTGGCAAAGCAAATGACTCCAGTGCAAGTTATGGGGGAAGATGCTGTACTAATGCTGATCTGAGAACAGCGCTACAGCTCTCATGGTTAGGAGATTGAGACAATGGGCCCATGTTAAACAAGCTGTTCAAAACATAAAGCCACAACTACTGATGAAAGTCAAGGCTGTTAAAATGTACCATCATTCAGAATGATAGAATATTTGGTAGACTGGCTAAAAACTGGGTTTCTCATTAAAAAAGTGTGAAAGGTTGAACCTTTTTGTTTCAGCATGCACTCAAGCTGGAATGAACTTCACAAGATTCTAATGCACAATCTTAATTTATACCTGGAAATAAACTATATGCTTGAGTATTCTGAATATGCAAAATGAATAAATATTTAGGCCCAGGATTTTGTACTAGAAACAGGCAGCTAATCAACTGGCAACATTAACCATCTGAACTCCTACTCTTTACAGTAGGTCAGATATACTGTATTTGCTTCTACTGAAGTGCAAGATGCTCTTTGGATGATCATTCTCAAATCATGCATGATCATCGGGTTTCACGCACATTTATGGAGTTACACACGGGAGGGATATGCGGAACACAAATAAATCTTAAATTCATACAACTTTTAAAAATAAATTTGCACTTAAATTATTATATTAATGATGGAATTAGTAATGAAAAAGCTGTATTCAATAAGAAAAAAATACAAAATGCACTAGACTTTTGGACCTTTATGTACTGGGTGAACTCTGGGGGGAAATGGGACAGATTTTCAGTATATGTCAAAAATGGCCCAAATTCACTCTATTTAATTGATGTTGAACTAGTCTTTAGGTAATCTATATGGTCTGGCATATGCTTTCAAAAAGTGCCATAAATATTTAAAACAAACCGCAGAGTCCATCTTTTGCAGGAAATACATAAGCTTCTACTCCAGCCATATATGGGCACTTCTTCGGGCCACTAAACCCAGAATCTGTCACTGAAGTCGTGGCCTAAATTGCTCGAAAAGGGGGTGCGACAGAAAGTGTAATAACTTTTGACCACAGGTGATCAAAACACGCACGCCACTGATTTAGATGCACAACTATTCTTTATAACATAGCTTTGGATTATCTCTCCATGTTCATAGAAACAGTATAGCGTTTTCACAAATTGTGATTATGTTATTGTCCTGATTTTGCAATTGACATTACCCCGCAGACATGTTATTTCATTTGAATCTTACATAGAAATCTAAATCCACTAATTAATTTGCCAAATGAATATAACCGAGTAGGCATATGCAGGTGTTTAATCTGAGGGCATTCTTTTCGGTACTTTATTTATTTGTTTGTTTGTTGTTTTTAATCTTAAATCGTCTGTGGTTAGTAGCCTATGTGTATTATTATACAATAAAAATAAAACAACTCTCTGGCTCATCTCGACTAATGATAAAAATAAAAAAAACAGCTCAAATCCTATTTGGTCATAACGTTGCAGAAATGTTCTTTATCATGATCCAGATGCGTCTCTCTGTATCTCAGCATCAGGTTCGAGAAGGACGCAAGGCGAATAGGTAGCCAACTCACGTAATGTTTGGATGGATTCCTCCTCTTCTCCACGTCCACCACTTTTACATCCAAAACTGTCCTAAACTGCATTGTGCAAACAGAGGCTTCGGGAGCACGGCTAGTAACCAGACAGCTAGAGAATTAAATGGACAGTCACGAAGACGTTTGCACGAATAATATCGATGTTCCTCTTCTCAATGAAAGCAAACGATTGTTGCCCCCGGCCCGTCCGTCCGTTTAATCAGTCCGTTTAATAATCGAGTAATAAATCGAGTAATAAACCATGCAAACTTATATCCGTCTGCAGGAAACGCACATCCCCGTATCCATTTCTCTCACAACGCAGAGCGGATTCTCGAACCGCCGCGTCCCAGCTGAATTCGAATCGAGACGCGTTCTACAGTGCCATTCTGGAATCCGGATCGACGCGTCATAAAGGCACGAGCGCGTCCTTTGTGTGGACTACAGTAGAGTAGCTGAAGTCTGGGGGTTCTCCTCAAACGTGAGCGGCGCACGTCGTAAAGGCCGGGGCGCATTCACCGCGATGTCCATTCGCAGGAAGCGCGCGCACTCACTGGGATATTTGGGCAATGGGGCTGGGCTTCTTGACAAGGGCTCTGTTGCAGTTTAAGAGCCTCTGCAGGGAGAAAAAAATAATAATACGAGTGTTGTGTTGATATCATTGTCTTCTTTCGTAAAAGAGACAATGGCTGGATTTTTCAGCTTGTGTAAAGGCCAATTGTGTGAGAAAAGAATGCATTCGCTTATCTTGATTGTAATAAAACCATGTCACGCACCAGATATGAACTGTCATTTGAAAAACGATCCATTCATATAATTTGCATAGTCTATATACGCATGCAAACAAATGCATAAAAGTCTGCTGCGCATCTATTCTACAATCTAAGAATATCACAGCCAGTGTGAGACGTGATTTCTGTTACTCATATTTCCACTGAGCATACAGGGACCTGAACGCGCACAGATAGATGTGCTCATGGACAGCTCACAGTGACCCCCTTTAGGCAGCTGAGTGTAACTACAGTTTCAAACGACCCATTTAGCTCACCCGCTATAAAACCCCAGGGCCCGTATTCATGACAAATCTTGGTGCAAAGAGTTGCTCCTAGTAACACAATTCTAAGAAAACTCTTAGAAATGTGGGTGCTTCCTCTTAAAATTCTAAGAAAAGTTCCTAGTAACGAAAAAAAGTAATTCAGAAAGCAACTTAACCCTTAAAAGAGGTCTTAAGGTCAAAAATTGTTAGGAGTACAGTACTTTTAATAGGCTTTAGAGTTTCTTTAGCAGTGTAGAGATGTGACAAAACATGAAGAGGGGGAAGAAATATGTTGCACACAATGCATGACAGAGAGTTAATGAGACGCTACACATAAGATCATCGTGCAGGGATCATGTTTGTGACTCATCTTATTAGAGACACGCTAACATCTCCGACACAGCACAGAAATGCCATAGCACCAGAAAATAACTACATTAACATATTTGGCAACTGGAAAAATGCAACTATGCAGCAGTGATGATTTGGGTCTGTCACAACCTTCTATAAGCAAAGTGATCACACAAACAATTACCTTATTGTGTCGCTGTTCATTTCCTATCAAATACGTTAAGTAGCCTACGACACTAACAGCATGGAATGTGACAAAACATGAAGAGGGGGAAGAAATATGTTGCACACAATGCATGACAGAGAGTTAATGAGACGCTACACATAAGATCATCGTTGAGTGATGGCTTATAATAGACCCTTACACTTAAAAGCGCTCTTTTATTGCCTTCATGGACAACCAACCAATCACAGTCTTCAAAAGGCAGTCATACCCCGCCCCCTCATTAAAACAATTTTGTCTTTTCCTCGCTCAGAGTTGCTCTCAGATTGGTCCCGAATCTCTCTTAAGTTAAGACTCCTACGAAGACATTTTTAAGCTAAATTAGGAGCTTTCTGAGAGGATTCTTATAAGCTTTAAGAATACGGGCTCAGGACACTCTTTACCGTATAATGGAAGTGAAAGGGAACTGGTTGCATCAAGCTCTTATTATTATTATAAAATCTTTTTTTAACAGGGCTATTACATTTGGGTTAAACAGTACAAATTACTCAATTATTAAAAGTTTGTTTAATCTATTAAAGAGATAATCTGGCATTAAGAATAATACTTAAGTAAATACTTTATGTCTGTATGCTCTTCTTATGCTGAACCATTGGGGTAAAAACAGTAAAAGATAAATCAATAAAAACAATCAATTATGTATGAAATTGACTTTAATGATTTAAATAAAACAGGATTCTGTAACTTGTTAATATTATGTCCTTATTGTGTCGCTGTTCATTTCCTATCAAATACGTTAAGTAGCCTACGACACTAACAGCATGGTAAATAAAAAGAGAAAGAATATATATATATACATATATAATGTGTGTGTGTGTGTGTGTGTATGGTAAAACAGGAAACATTATGCTTATAATTTCAAAGTGATGGCTTATAATAGACCCTTACACTTAAAAGCGCTCTTTTATTGCCTTCATGGACAACCAACCAATCACAGTCTTCAAAAGGCTGTCATACCCCGCCCCCTCATTAAAACAATTTTGTCTTTTCCTCGCTCAGAGTTGCTCTCAGATTGGTCCCGAATCTCTCTTAAGTTAAGACTCCTACGAAGACATTTTTAAGCTAAATTAGGAGCTTTCTGAGAGGATTCTTGTAAGCTTTAAGAATACGGGCTCAGGACACTCTTTACCGTATAATGGAAGTGAAAGGGAACTGGTTGCATCAAGCTCTTATTATTATTATAAAATCTTTTTTTAACAGGGCTATTACATTTGGGTTAAACAGTACAAATTACTCAATTATTAAAAGTTTGTTTAATCTATTAAAGAGATAATCTGGCATTAAGAATAATACTTAAGTAAATACTTTATGTCTGTATGCTCTTCTTATGCTGAGCCTTGCGAAAGTATTAAAATCCCTTAATATTTTTCACGTTTTGTTATGTTGCAGCCTTATCTTAAACTGCTTTAAATTACTTTTTTCCACATCAATCTACACTGCATACATCATAATGGCAAAGCAAAACAGAACTGTCACAACTTTGTACATTTATAAAATAAAATTAAAAAAATGAAATAAGTGCATTGCATAAGTATTCATTCATTATACTTAGTATTTGCAAGTATTTGCATAACTCTGTACTTAGCTGAAGCACCTTTACAGCCTCAAGTATTTTTAGTATGATGCGACAAGCTTTTCTCATCATCATTTGGCAATTATCTGCCATTCTTCACCTCACCTCTTCACCGCTCAAGCTCTGTCAGGTTGGATGGGGGCAGATGCTCATTTTCTCAAGAATTATTTGATTGAAGTGAAAGGGAACTGGTTGCATCAAGCTCTTATTATTATTATAAAATCTTTTTTTAACAGGGCTATTACATTTGGGTTAAACAGTACAAATTACTCAATTATTAAAAGTTTGTTTAATCTATTAAAGAGATAATCTGGCATTAAGAATAATACTTAAGTAAATACTTTATGTCTGTATGCTCTTCTTATGCTGAACCATTGGGGTAAAAACAGTAAAAGATAAATCAATAAAAACAATCAATTATGTATGAAATTGACTTTAATGATTTAAATAAAACAGGATTCTGTAACTTGTTAATATTATGTCTTCATGATTATATTTTATGGAATTTAAAAAATGATGCTACAAAACAGTGTAGTGTGCTTCTGTTGAGCTTATTATGTCACTATTGCATTCTAAAAATGTCAGGGCAACCTCCAGCATCTCTCGACTCATTGGCTGTAGCGCTGCCTAACGCTGGACAAAATATGCAGGACATGGCATCCTTTCTCAGCATCTGCCAAAAAAAACGGCATATGAGGAAGGTCCTCTACTCATGTATGGGTATGTTTTTAAATAATGTTGCCAGCCTGTACATTATCTCACTCATTATACTAATTATAAAATAAAATACAATAAATCAAGGTTTACAAAAATTAATACTGCTTCAAATTGAAACTATTATTTGAAATGAAAACAACATCAGTTATACAGTTTATTATACAAAATTATCTGACCTGAGAATGCAGTGTCTGAACAATCAGAAAACAAATATTATTCAAGTGTAATAATATTAATAACATGATGTGCAACTAGTATGCAAAAAAACCTCAAATTTTTCCCGTTTGGTATCCTCTCGTAAAACATCCTTGATCGCTGTGTGAAAATCTTTGTCTTGCTCTGTTACCTAAAACAGCCAAGTTAATGAAAATATAATTATATTTCACACTAGTTTTAGACATGATATGTTATATAGCATTTCTGTTGTGATTAAACCACATTAAATATTATTTTAAAATCCCAGTGGTACAATCCTGAAATGTGTAGAAAGCATGTGTAGGAAGCAAATATTAGACATTATCCCTTTAATTTTGTTCAGAGTCTCCTGAGGTAACATTAACACTGTTTGTACTTGCGAAGAGGTGTGTAACCATTGCACATGCATTGTAAACTTCATCCTGTGTCCGTATTTTCCGGAATATTTGTCCCTCATCCTGGAGAACGCTCAGAGTCTCTTTCAGAAGGTTTCGAATTTGTGTGGCAAATGACGTCCCGGGCTGGTCTGACTCCTTTAGGGAAAAGAAAAAAAAACACATTATGAAGGATGAGTCACCTCAACAATGAATCACATTTCTGTCATGCATCATTCAAAATGACCAATTCCGCCTCCCAAAATCTTCCAACAAATAAAGAACATTTAAATAAAATGCTAATTTCATGCACGTTCTCATTTGACTACTAAGGAAGATATCGTTAAGGCTTCTTATTAGTATACTTCTCATCACCATATGCTGCTGTCCTTGAATTTCCAGACTAGCAGCATCTCATAAAAGTGCTACAGACGATCACTCCCTGCTGCCATCGAACAGCACAACACATCCTCCCTGCCGTGCCCACCATAAGTTATTCCTGGCTCTTACATTCTGTTATACTCCAGCCAAGAGTAGTGACATTGAACAAGGACAGTTTACTTTGGTAGCTTTATGCATTCATCTTTTGCGAATGCAAAATCTGCATATCTATCTATCTATCTATCTGAGTATAATAGAGGTCAAGGTCAGGCCCAGCACCTGTTCTGCTGAAGAACTCTGGATCAGCGGATGTAAGAGGAACTCAACATCGTATGGACGAAACCTGGCAACCTCTTTCTCTAAGAAGAACTCCTTAAGGGTGAGAACGGACCGAGACAGCAAATAGTGGAAACGTGAGGAACCACCTGCTCTGTAAATAAAATTTAAGAGCACGGAAAGCATTTTTGTAAGTTTTTAAGTATATTTAAAATGTAAATATTTATATATTTATCATCATTTGGCAATTATCTGCCATTCTTCACCTCACCTCTTCACCGCTCAAGCTCTGTCAGGTTGGATGGGGGCAGATGCTCATTTTCTCAAGAATTATTTGATTGGGTTCAAGCCCAGGCTATGGCTGGGCCACTCTTGCTGTGTGCTTAGGTTC